AAAAAAAAAAAAAAAGTAAAGAAAGAGAGAAGTGAGGGGAAGAAAAGCAGGTTCATTATTTCTTTGATGTGCTTCTGGAATGTTCCATAGGGAAGCAAGAGAAAATCAGAAAAAGTAAAAGCTTTAAGGCATTAGTTATTGCCATGTTTTTGGTTGCATATGTATGTACCCTATACAAAGCAATAATTTCCTGTGTTTCCATCTTTATTGGAATTAATTACAGGAATCTGTAGAAACACGAAATATACCTACTAAGTATTGATATGTTCAATCCTACAATTGCAGTTCCGTTCACTGAACTATCATTGCTTGTCATTACTAGAAGCTCGTTATAATCATAATTATCACTTTTCACCACGCTACCACAACCAACATTGTTGCCAATGTCATAACTATCTTCTGCATCTCCACTCTCATTGCCAACACCCTCAGCATATGCTTGCAGTGCAGTAGTTTACTAATGCCTTGCCATCTTTGTTTTGCAACGTTAGAAGTTGAAGCACGTAATGGATTTTCATGTTCAATGGAAGTACCTAAACTTATCCACCATTTCTTTAGAAGAAGTGGTTTAAAAATCTGCTTCAGATTTATTTCTTATTTGAGTACTCTGTGTGTTTTGTCTATCAGGTGAAAGCAGATCATTTTTCGACAGCAGATGGGATAAGCTACCTTGAAGCCAAGCATTTGCTACTTCTAAATTATTGCCAGTCATTGGTCTATTATTTGCTCCGCAAGGCAAAAGGGTTCTCAATTGAGGGACATCCTGTTGTTCAGAGCCTTGTAGAGATCAGATTGTTTTTGGAGAAAGTATGCATGTGCTTCACTTGTTATCAGGGCTTGGGCCTGATTATGATATATATTCTATTCCTCATCATTCTATTCTTTGCAGATTCGGCCAATTGACAAGAAATTACAATACCAAATTCAGAAGCTCACAAGGGTTACAGGAAGTGCAGCAGATAAAGGAGGCTTGAGTGATAAAGAAGGTGATTCAACTCAAAAGACAGAGGACTTGTTGAAGTACCGTCCAAACCCAGATTTGCTTGTTAGCAAAGCAAATACGACTTCTGAGGTGAGTTAAAGGTGTTGAAATTGATAATGTTGAATAATTTTTTTTGAGAATGGAGTATACACATTAAAGATATTGCCATCTTTTTCTTTACCATTCAGATTTAAATTTCTTTGGATAGGACTAATTACTTATATGAAATAACTCCATGCTCGTGAATTATAGGATGCGGGTGTGTATCGGCCCCCGAAATTTGCACCTGCTTCTATGGAAGAAGATAAGATGTCAAGACATGAGAAAAATGCTTTAAGAAAGGAGAAAGAGACTCTCCGACAAGCTAGGCAGAGCGCATATGTGAGAGAATTAATGGATGATCTCGAGGGAAGGCCTGAAGAGGTGAGTAGTGGACCACTGTTGTGGTTTCCCTAATTCGGAATGACTCTGTTTTTTTGTTTTTATGATCTAATTGCGAGAAATAGTTTATCTTATACTTTGATTGACTACGAATATTTCAGGTGAGGGAAATTGTTGGAACTGAAAGTAGAGAACTTACTAAGTACATGGCAAAGATGGAAGAGCGTACACAGAGAGAAGAGGAGCTCTTTATTCGTGCTCCTCTTACGAAATTGGAGAAAAAGAAAATGAAACATTTGAAGAAGTCACGAAATGGGTAAATCCAATTTGAATACAACAATCATTGTGTTGTTGAACAATTGTTATTGTGTGCCTTTAAACTCGTACTGTATTAGTCTCTGGTTGGTTGATCTGACAGATAACAATCTGAGTCGCATATTTAGTTATTTTACTATTTAGGTTTGACTGTTTTTCATTGCTTCTTCTAGATTGCTTGGATTGACAGAAAGTTTCTATGATGAGATTAAAACTTTACCTTTGGAGGACAGCACTGGTGAGCAAATAACAGGTTTAAATAATGCCAATGGTGGAGTGACAAAGCTCAAGAAACGTAAGGTAATTGAATATTGAAAGTCAATACATGATACATCGTTTCCTTATACTAAAGCTGTCGGTTTGAGAAGTTCTCTTAACAGTAATTTTTACTTCTGTATTTTTCTTTTGCTCACTAAGACAGTGTCTCTGGTGATAGTGTTGTGTTATGGAGTGGGTATTTTATAATTCCAATGGTTGACAAATTTGATCCAATAGCAGATGAAGCACCATCCTCTATTCTATCAATGCTATTCATTGATTGATATTGAAGTGCCTCATCACACAAGCTTATGAGATTGGGTAGGATGAAGGATTGTATAACATTATGTATACTACTCACCAATAATTGCTTTGCGCTCACGAATGATCAGAACTTGTCTCAGAGAGAGAGAGAAGCAAAAGTAATTTTAGTTTTGAATAACGTAATGAATTTCAGGAACTCATTATTCCAAGAAGCTTGTGGTTCTATGAGATAGTCTTCAGGTTTGACCAGAATGTTTGTCCTAATTATGCAACTTGTATATTGAAGCCACAAATTTCAGTAACAATGATTTTAACAAATTTTCTTCCTTTGCCCCCAAGTAAATTGACACAAGGCTGGCTAACAAAAGGAAGTTTGATCCAGAATCTTTTTTAAAGCACTGGAATCCAGTCATCGGCAGAACTCTTGTTTAGCACTACCCTTCTCTTGTCTCCAAGAGGGTACACTGTAGTTTACTATTCTGTCATTGGTAAGATTTTGCATGGGCTATGGCATAATATATCAGGTGTTTATAATGTAATACTCTTGGACATACCAACTTTGTCATGAAAACATCAGTGTAGGTGAGTTCTGGTTAGCACGAAGCTGTGACCTTCTATTGTTTCCAAGAGGGTATATTGTAATTTACTGTTCTGTCATTGATAAGATTTTGCACGAGATATGGTATAGTTCTTGGCAATAGTAAATACCCGGAAAAAAAAAAAATTCTTGCCGATATGTGCCAAGGATGTAGCGTGTCCATACATGTACCCTTTGATATCATTTTTGGGAATTTCCAAGGTGTTTCAGTCTTTGTTTACATAGTCATCAAGGTCTACTTTCTTGAATGATAAATAGGGCTGATATATGTTTATCTGTGCCAGTTTTATGTCGACAAGAATTTTACATTCTGTAGCATTTTACTTGGCTTCCATACGGAATGCAAAGACAATTAGATGTTACTACTGTGATAGACTCACAATTTGTGCCCCATTTACAGGGAAGGCATTGAGGGACAAGAAGTTCAGATGTTAGCATGCATAGAGCTGTTGAGTTCAGATGGCAATGATGTGGTGGTGTTGTCTCTGATAGAGGGAAGTAATTTATGGCTTCAGCGATATAATGTATGGGTTTTTTGATCCAATAAGATCTTTACTTACTACAAATTTTCTGCATGGGGAGATGTAGAAGTTAATATTTGTTTGATGTGAATCTCTTGCCGTTAATATTGAGTTTGATTCAGCAAATTTGGATGTAAGATTGTTATGCTGTTCTACTTAAATAATATGTTCAGGTTCACAAAGTTTTGAGTGGCTGAATATAATATCTCCATCATGCCAGTGAAATCTGGGAGATTAATTAAGCTGTGTTGATGCATCCATATAACGTACAAGTATTCGATTTTCATTCATTAACATATATATATATATATTGGTGTGTGTGAATGTGTGCGCGTGTGTTTTNGAATATTCTTGCATTGTGTTCTGACTTATTTACTTATTCTCCTATTCATTTTTCCTTTTCTACTCTTTATTGCCTACAATTGTTCAAATTTATCNGAGTGGAAGTGCTGGGGCCTGCTTGATCTGGCTGCTCCTGAGTCTACACATACTCTCCCTCTAGCTCCCTCTCTTCCTCTCGATCTAACTCTTCCTACACCTCATCAACACCTTGGGGNGAACCAACTTTTGAAAGCTTGGTCATGATTGGTCACGAAAGTTATAATTTTTAAAAGTTAAGTCATAACTTTTAAAAATTAATAATTTACAACTCATAAAAGAGAAGTTATAACTTATAACTTCTCAATTTTTTNTACCAGTAAAGTAATTTCTTCTTTGCCCAGTTCCCCTAAGTAATTAGTGTCCGGATATATAGTGGATATATGGTTATATACGTAGTAATACTTTTTTTTAAAAAAATTGTAGCATTCTTGGTTCAAATAACGCACTTCTAATATTCTTATTGTACTTGCATTTCTCAACCTCAATTTTGTGTGTGTGAATATTCTTGCATTGTGTTCTGACTTTTTTACTTATTCTCCTATTCATTTTTCCTTTTCTACTCTTTATTGCCTACAATTGTTCAAATTTATCGCATAAAATTTATAGGGCATCAACTTTTGAAAGCTTGGTCATGATTGGTCACGAAAGTTACAATTTTCAAAAGTTAAGTCATAACTTTTAAAAGTTAATAATTTACAACTCATAAAAGAGAAGTTATAACTTATAACTTCTCAATTTTTTGATTGATTATAGACTTTCTTTGACAACTGTAACTTTTACTTTTAAAATTATAACTTATACAATAAAAAATTATTACTTTTGATATAATATCAATTTTTTTTTTGTTATTGTTGACTTTCCCAACATGTAGTAATGAATCGGATAATTTGATAGACTCGTACCCCCAGCAATTTTGGTTTAGTACAATTGCATATTCACATCGTATTCTATACAAAAATCTGTTTCTACCTAAATAAATGTTTTCTTAGTAACACTTGAACAACAACCTATTATTTTGAAAGCTTTTTAGTAGTGTGCTAAAGTCATGATCCAATCAGGTGATTATAACTCGAATATAATGATTAAATTTAAATTAATCACAATTCTTTCAACTTTTAAGTAACTTGATCTTATTAGATCATAACTTTTTGGTATGACATTAAAAAATTATTTTTCGATACTATGAATTTTACCTTCTTGTAGAGATCATGTTTCCTATGAGGATGCCCAATCAAGATGGAATTGTCCCATTTTTACTTCCATAACCTTTTAAGAGACAAATCCATTCCAAACTTTGTAGATATAAATAAGTACAAGATTGTTAATTCTTCCCTATGCCCCATTACACTACAACCAATTTTGCAGCAAAGTTATGAGTAGACTCTGCAAGAATGCATCGATTATNATAGACTCGTACCCCCAGCAATTTTGGTTTAGTACAATTGCATATTCACATCGTATTCTATACAAAAATCTGTTTCTACCTAAATAAATGTTTTCTTAGTAACACTTGAACAACAACCTATTATTTTTAAAAGCTTTAGTAGTGTGCTAAAGTCATGATCCAATCAGGTGATTATAACTCGAATATAATGATTAAATTTAAATTAATCACAATTCTTTCAACTTTTAAGTAACTTGATCTTATTAGATCATAACTTTTTGGTATGACATTAAAAAATTATTTTTCGATACTATGAATTTTACCTTCTTGTAGAGATCATGTTTCCTATGAGGATGCCCAATCAAGATGGAATTGTCCCATTTTTACTTCCATAACCTTTTAAGAGACAAATCCATTCCAAACTTTGTAGATATAAATAAGTACAAGATTGTTAATTCTTCCCTATGCCCCATTACACTACAACCAATTTTGCAGCAAAGTTATGAGTAGACTCTGCAAGAATGCATCGATTATCGGAAAGAGTGGCTGCAAAAAATATATGGAAAATTGACCAAAGTAGTTGTTGTATCTCATACATTTGAGATGTTACACATTTCAAGAGTCCTTCAGAGGTCGCGGTAAGTTGTAAAAAATGAGACCCACCACGAGAATCATACTGCCAAAAAGGAAAAATGGGCTCAAGCTTGTTCCTTCAGGGAGATATGGCAATGGAAGGGAAAGAATATAAATTGCGAGTGGCACTGCAAAAAACGTAAAGACACCCATTAGTTANTAGCAATTGTACAATTCAAAGAATCCCCATAAAGTTGCTGCAATTGTGATCCAGGAAGTGCCCTCCACAAGAAAAGAGTACAATCGTATGTGAGATTACCCTTTTTGTATGATATTAATTTGGTTCCNTGAGCAATTGTACAATTCAAAGAATCCCCATAAAGTTGCTGCAATTGTGATCCAGGAAGTGCCCTCCACAAGAAAAAGAGTACAATCGTATGTGAGATTACCCTTTTTGTATGATATTAATTTGGTTCCNCAGTATACGATAATCCTTTCATTTGTAAAAAGTAAAAACATTCATACATGTGCTTTGAGAGTGTGTGTGTACGTGCACAAGAGAGAGATAGAGTGAGAGAGAACCTGATGCAGTCACAGCAAGGGAAGAAATAACTGCAGAGGATATCTTTAATAGATGGAGTACCGATATGTTGAAAGCAATGTTGGTAACCATGTAAAGTAGGGGTAAGAGTGGCGCTCCACTGCAATCTGAGGTAGCACATGAAGGTATAAAACCAGATAAAAAAAAATATGAGAAGAGAATGCATAAGATCAGACAGGTTGAATAAAAAAATGCATGCTCAAGTTTTGGACATGAGATGATATAATTCCTCCGAATAAACAGAATTAGCCAAATAATGCCCAGAGCACATAACAATATGTTTATAAGGGTATGTTACAGAAAATGCATCATAAGCATATCAGATATAGATATCTGCTTATTCATTAACTGATCATTCAGGCAATGATGAAAACTATAAGAACTTTTTCACTTCAGATGCTCACACACTTGCACACTGACTGCATCCCCGAAGGCATATCATTGCAATTTTGGAGGTCCTTCTGGTTTGAAGGGATGGTTTAGAAACTTCCACGCCAGTAACAAATCCAATACCGTTTCTTTTTAGCACATGTATGCACCTCAAATTTGGCTGCAGAAAGAGCTGAATGGAGAAGAATGCATACATGCAACCTCAAGTAATTGGGACTAAGGTTAGTAGAAATGGATTCGGAGTGACTTAATTCACCTAAGGGGGGCCAGCCTCTTGCCACCAGATTTCAAATTGGCAAACCCAGGTGAATCAACAGGTAATCAAAGTGCAGACTGATTTGGACTGTCGCGGATTATTGCATTCTGGTATTGACCAACTTATGACAAATGGTGTTCTTTTTCAGACAATTACACAGGAACATTGTGAATACAAGTTTATATATATATATATATATATATGAACTACTACGTTATTACAAAGATGCTCTGAACCCTGTTTATTTTCCTATTTGATGTTGTCCTGTTCAAGCTGTCACACCATATTTGGGTACTTGAGAGTATGCACCTAGATCTCAGTTGTTCAACATGNTTTCAGACAATTACACAGGAACATTGTGAATACAAGTTTATATATATATATATATGAACTACTACGTTATTACAAAGATGCTCTGAACCCTGTTTATATTCCTATTTGATGTTGTCCTGTTCAAGCTCTCACACCATATTTGGGTACTTGAGAGTATGCACCTAGATCTCAGTTGTTCAACATGAGGTAACATAAAAATTTCACTGTGTTAGACCAAAACATCAAAGAATTCAGATCATGAGCAATTGTACAATTCAAAGAATCCCCATAAAGTTGCTGCAATTGTGATCCAGGAAGTGCCCTCCACAAGAAAAAGAGTACAATCGTATGTGAGATTACCCTTTTTGTATGATATTAATTTGGTTCCAAATTCTACCCAAGTGATGTAATTTACTTTCTAAAACGAGATTCTGATAAGTCTCACAAATACATCTGCATGATAGCATACAGTTTTTCGAACCAAAAATGTCGAAAATTTAATGATAAGCAACCTACACGGTCAACATTAAATCTACTTCTCCATAAAGTTGGAACCCAATGGCCTGTTTGGCAGACCACAAAACCTGGCCAGCAGAGGATAAGATTAGCTAGTTTTTAGCTGGCCAGTGCCTACTAAAGTCAGATTTTTCTGAATTGGCCAAGTCTGCACTGAAATAAGACACAGAAACAGTCTGTTGGTAGACCATGTCAGTTGTTGAATTTCTATTAACCACATTACGGAATTAGCTAAGACCTGAGCTGAGTCACTTATAAGCATTTACAAACACACCCTGAAGTTGAAAATTGAGTTTAATGATCTACAAACTAGTAGAATGAATGAATAGAACACTTTGAAACTTGTTCAGGTGTTTATGGAAAGTAAAACTTTTGGGACTTAATGAGAAGAGAGGGGCTAAATGGCAAAGTTCTAAAAAATGATTTCAGTGCATTTGATATTTTCTCAAAAGTAGAAATAGGCTGCAAGCAAAAAAAA